AGTGTGAAGTTAATTTTGGGACTGCCCAAAAAGGATGGGGAGAAGTTGTTTACGGGACGGAGGGAGTAAAATTTTAGATTTATAACTGTACTCATTATTGAAAAGAGGTCTCTCTTGCATTAGGGTTTAGATTTTCTCTTCTTAGTTCAGAGCAGTTCATCGCCACACTATGGTGGTTCCTTTATTCAAGGTTTTTGAAGCCTTTTCAATCGCAAGGTTGGAAGGCGGCAATAAACACAATAGTTGTTTATTGTGTGGTTTTTTGGAGGGTTGGTGTAACACTCCGGCCCCGCAGCACCCGAGGTAGTTACTACACATACTCTCCGGACCTCTAGTACTGTCCTCACAAATCACCATGAGCCTTTACCGCGCACTTTGTGCTCACTCATTCGCGTCCTGAGAAACTTCCCAGGGGGTCACCCATCCCAAGACTACTCCCGTGCAAGCACGCTTAACTTTTGATTATATTTGATTGTGTTTTGGTGTCAGATGAAACATTTGAGACATATAAATGGGTGTTAAAAGCTTTTTTTGGAAGCAATGCACAATAAACATCCCATATCAGTGGTTACTGATGGTGATGTTGCTATGAGGGAGGCTATTAAAGTAGTTTTTCCAGTAAGGATGTTGTTACTTGGACTGTAATTTGCTGGTCTAGTCTGATCTGATCTGGTCTGAACTGGTCTAGTCTGGTAATGTCTGGGTTCTTTGTATTTTTATAACTATCCAAGTCTGGTCTGGTCTGGTCTGGACTGGTCTGGGACAAATTACAGTCCATGTAAAAACATCCTAACTACTCACTGTTTGTGTGCATGTCACTTGAATAAAAATGCATGGGATCGAGAATGTAAACAACACACCATTTTTGGAGATTTTTAAGAAAGCAATGTATTCTAATTTCACCCCTGAAGAGTTTGAAGATTTTTGGCAAAAATTATAGGTGAGCCTGGGGTTGAAGGTAACACATGAGTTTTGAAAACCTATGAGAACAAGTTATTATGGGCTACTGGGTATCTACGTGATACATTCTTTGGACGCATCCGGACTACATCTCAGTGTGAAGCAAAAAATTATCTCATAAGATCTTATGTGAGAAAAAGAACACCCTCGTTGAATTTATTCATGATTTTGAATAAGTGCTAAGAGAGTACCGAAATAATGAGTTGATTGCTGATTTTAAGTCCAATTTCTCAGAACCAGTGATGACGAGCTCTTTGAAGCACCTTGAGCGCCAGACTGCTGATATATATACACTGGAAATGTTTACAGAAGTTTAGAAAGAGATTGAACTTGGTTGTGCATTAAACGTTGTGGGTCGAGTAGAAAATGGAGATGAATTGACTCTTCACCTGAACAAATATGGGCATCCTGAAAATTTAGTTAAAGTTGATTTTGATAGATCAAATTCTAAATTTTCATGCGCTTGTCGTCTTTATGAACATCCAGAACTTTCCTAGTAACTTGATATGTGGAAGGTGGACTAAAACGAGAGTAAGAGTGATATAATCTCTTTAATGTCATCAAGTGAAGTAGATATTGATGTTATGATATTTGCTCGCTTTGGTGCTTTAGCAGCTTCTTGTAATAGACTGTGTAAAATTGCTGCCAAAAAACTGAATACTTTGATGAAGTTAGAGATGAGATACTTAGACTCACTCATAAGAGAAGTTTGGTGATCAAAGGAGTAGTCATGCATCATTTGTTGAAGATATTGCGGTCCTACTGTTATGAAGACACAAAGTGCCCCAATAAAGAAAAAAGAGAGGTAAAAGGAAGCATTGTTCGAACTGTAACCGTGCAGGACATGTAATAACAACATGCCCAAGGATAGCTTCCGATAACAATGACACTTAAAATGATGACGTTATATCTTTGGGCGACAACCAAAGATGTCATGTTAGTTTATTAATTTCCATATATTTACATATGTTAGCATACTTTTATATTTTAAAATCTTTTTTTAGTATGGCGCGTGTGTATAAGTTATGTTTATATTATTGCAGGGCAAAGGAACTGTTGAGGTTTATTCCTTCAACCCCCGGGTCCAACACGTAAGCCCAAGAGTTTCGAGTGGAGTGTGTATGTGAATAAACTAGCCCAACTAACAAGTGAGATGGATTAAGAAACAGTAAGTAGCAAACAAGAGATTAGGTATTATTAATCAGTTAATAACTCCCCAATACAATATTTTTGCTGAGGCTCGTCGGCCGTTCGTCTTACAAGGCAGTAGAAGAGCTGCGAGTAAGAATGCTATAAGCTAGAGTGCTGAGAATAGTAAGTTGCCAACCCTTTACAATGAAATAAATGCCGCTATTTATACTACCAATGGGTGGCTGGCTATGCTGACGTGGAGGCTTGCGTGTGGCTGATGCCCAACCACTAAATCTCCGGCATTAAATGCGCTTCCCGCCAGAATCTGGGTTTCCCGCCTAGTTGTGGGGACGTACGTCCAGCCTGGATAAGGGGGCCTGCTCCTGGTGATATTCGCAAAGGGTAATGGGCCGTTCGTATCCTGGCCCTTAGATGATTTGTCACATGGGTTGGATTAGCTCCAAGTGACAGTGGTTTCCGGAGGCGACGTTCGTCGCCGTTGCGTTTGTCTGTGGATTTGATCCATTTGTCTTCGTACGGACGTTCGTCCGAGTGGGCTGCCCCGCCACGGAAGACGTTCGTCTGGTCGAGGTGAATGGGCTGGCCTATGCGCTCGACCATTAACCCAACACAAGTCCCTCACTTCTGATGTTCTGAGCGTGCGAAGGGCATAAGGAAGTATATTGTCCCCAAAAGGTGGACGCTCGTGGCATGGAACTTATGCCTGCCGCCTTCCCGAGGGTGGACGTTCCTCTCCATGGCGTCTCTTATCTGATGGCGGTTCAGGAATCGAGGTGACGGCTACCGCAGAAACGGTACACTTTCCGAGGTAAGGTCATCATTACATTCCCCATTTCACGCGCAGCGCGTGCACCTGGGTACGCTCCTCGCCACGCGTTGCCTTCCCATTGGCCCCCGAATCGGTGCCTCTCCTATAAATACCAGGGTTTCCCCTTGGCTTAGGGTTCCCGACTTCTGTTTTCTCGCTCTAGAATCTTCGCTGCTTTGTGCTCAGTTCGTCCACAAGGTCCCTAGCTTGCTTCCGTCGATCCAAGGTATTTCAGGCTCTATTTTCCTTTCTTCGTAACCCTTTTCTGATCTTTCCAATGACTTCTATGGAAATCTCCTCGAGTTCTGGCTCGGGTTCCTCTTCCGACTCCCCTTCTGGCCCTGAGTCCAGTTCTCGCTCTTCTGAGGGCGCCAGTACCTCCGGCCGCTTCGGCTCCCCGTCTGTTGCGGGGATGATTGTGCAAGACAATGCTCCTGAGACTTCTACCTCTGCGAGTACCTCCTCGGCAGACGCAACCCATGGTGATGCGGTCCCTGGGGGAGATGGGGACGATGCCCCCCAAGGAGGTGCGATCCAGATGGTCGTGGAAGACGTAGCCGCTGATAATGATCGCCCAGCGGGCTATGATTCAGGCGTCGAGGCCGTTGACGGTTCCAACGTAGAGGTGTTCGATCTGGGCCTCACGGTTGATGTGGAGCGTCATATTTGCCCCATAAAGAACGCGATTGGCCATGAGCAATTCTTCTCGGACCCGGCCCTTGAGGCGCTTCGCATCTACTTTCCTGACCCGCTCAGCTACAGCCTCCGAGGCGCGACCCACGTGATGAGGAGACGCCCGGAGATGGGCTGGCCCATGCGCTGGGCCATTAACCCAACAGGAACCTTTCTACATGAAGACAATCACAGTAACAAAACCAATTGTAGTAATGAGAAATGAAAAACCAATTGTAGTAATGAGAAATGACAAAACCAAAACCATAATATTATTGTTATGGTTATTCATGCGCAAAAATCCGTCTATGAATAAATTTAATTGCCAAAAAATGAAAAATGATCAGTTTTTATATAATTTAGAAATTCTGAAAAAGTTACTTGCATATTCAGTCATACTATTAAGAAACGTGATTTCAACAATGTAAAATATGTTCTTGGAGGGTTTTTTGCATGAATAATTGTAACACAAGAGGGGTGGGGGGGGGGGGTTGACACATTTTTTAAATCACAGGCGACTAATGCGCCAAATTTAAATTCCCAAGGGGCTTTAGTGCATTAAACCTTTAGATCATGTGATATTATAGTAAATATCACTCCATCTTATTATTATGATGTGAAATATAAAAAGGGAATAGTGAAATATAAGTGTTCCTGCCAAGATATTAACCGAATCAGTTCTGTGTATTCTAGAAAAAGTGGAGCAAGTGGGCTAAAATGAATATACATCTTTGTGGCCCAAACACTTACGCACATTTATATGTGCAGAACATACTTGCCCCACATAAAGTCCAAATCTATATAGATCATTTTTGAGTACCTGCAAATTTATCTATATTAAATAAATTAATGAATAATAATCGTACCATTTATTTATTTTTGAAAATAAGGTAATTTGAATATGTTCAATTTTTTAAGAAAAAGAATACGCCAAAATATGGGAAAATGGTCACGAACTTACATAAAAAGGTCAAATAAACTCTTATATAGGAGGTTCTGTCCGCCCATCGCCATTTGGGTGGTTACCGGTGGAATTTTTGATACACTTTTTTTAACATCTTATTCATATTAAGTCTAGTTTATTCATACCAAATTTCAGCTAAAACTTCAATCGGGAAATCATTCAAATAAATTCTTCAAGATAATCGTGATAAGGTAATTTGAATATGTTCATTTTTTAAAGGGCCTGCATGGTTGGGGGATTTCGGAGAGGAGGAATGGGGAGATTGATTTTTTATTTTATTAATTTATCTACTTTTTTTAGTTTTTAACTTCAAATAACTATATAATTGGTTAAACCATGTATTTTTATACACTATTTTGTCTTTACTTTATTTGAATTTTTTTTAATGAATAAAATATTTTAAATTTAAATATGACTCTTCCCTTTTCCTCCCTTCCAAAATCCCCCAACCATACTCGCCCAAAAAGAAAAAGAAAAACAAATCATAATCAGCTAAGCAACGCCTCTACTCTTCCGCCACTTCGGATCGCTAACTTCTTCCTCTTCTCTAGACGACAGATACGGAGCCAGCGATCTGCACCGGCACCGCAATCCGTAGAAAGTAGAATCCTAGGACTTCCGCCACTCTGCTCAGCAACCCATCCAGGTAGCTGAGTGCTGCATCCTCAAGGCTGAAGGATGCTATTCTGAAATAGGAGTAAAAGATTTCTCAAATTTCTCCCCTTTTGCCCTCAAACTGCTTATATCAGAAACAGTCCTGATTTTGATTTGGGAGCCTTTCGTGTGTATGAAGAGGCATTACTTTTATTGGATTTTAAAGGTAAGGAATTTGATTTAATTCTTTGGGATGATACTTCATACTTGACCATCAAAAGTTCTGGCCAACTGGCCATTACAGAAAATAATTCCTCCTTATCATCTGAAAAGCAAATCTAGTCTTGAGAGACTATGATACGATTCCTCATTCAATGCGAAAAAACGTCTATAGAATCAGATTCCAGGAAACTAACAAACGTGAATACTTGAAATGTCTTCAAGCATACCTCACCCCCTCCCCACAAAAAAAGAAAATTAAGTCTTCATATCACTTTGCATGTGATAAATAGCATTTGATATGCTTTCTGAAATCTTGAGGAACTATTTTTGTGTGTTTTTTGTTTAGTTGTTGAATTGCAGAGGAACAGTTTGAGGGCTTATTGGATTAAGAATGGGCGGCTCTGAACAACCAAAGAAAAGAGTGGCCTTTGTGCTTATTGATGGCTTGGGGGATGTATCTCTGCCAAGGTTTGGTTACCAGACTCCTTTGGAAGCAGCTAAGATTCCAAATTTGGATAGTATAGCTTCAGCTGGAGTTAATGGCCTGATGGATCCTGTAGAAGCGGGCCTTGCATGTGGGAGTGACACGGCTCATCTGTCTTTGATGGGGTACGATCCAAGGGTGTATTACCGTGGAAGAGGCGCATTTGAGTCTATGGGAGCTGGCCTGGCAATGTCGCCCGGTGATATTGCATTTAAGGTATGCATTGTTTGATTCTGTGTGTGTGTGTTTGTCCTTTCTTTAGTAAAGGCTTGGATTTCACTTTCTTTCCTCGTGTTTTACCTTTCTTAATTATAGTCTATTGAAACATGTCATCCTGTTGGGCTTTTATTAAGATTTGTGGTTCTACCCTGAAAGATCAAACATGAGGAATAGTCTACCGCCTATTATGTTAGTTTGCTATTTATATGTTTTTCTGTTGTAACTTGTATGATGCTTAATTAGTTTGACTTTCTTCATTTTGTTGAATGATGTGCATCAAATTATTCATAAACTATGTTTCTTCTCGTCTTACTCTGACTTTTGATGTTCCAGTCAAACTTTGCTACCCTGGATTTGGCAACTGGGGTAGTTTTAAGCAGGAGGGCTGATAGACATTTTGAAGAAGAAGGTCCAATTCTTTGTGCTGCTTTGGATGGAATGAAACTACCTTCTTTTCCTGAATATGAAGTTAGAGTGAGGTGTATGTTCTTTATCAGTTTTTCTGACATTTTTATCCTTGCATGACACCTCCACATACATGGAGAGGCCAACATAACTATGGATTACAATGACTTCCACTTTTTCTTCTAAAATTCTATTACACACTTCCTCTGTCCCAAAACAAAGAGCCTACCTTGAAAGTATACTTTTGTCCCAAAAAAAGAATTCTATTTGATAAAAAAACTAAATTTCATTATATTTAATGTATTTTTTTTCAGAAAAAGAAGTCATAAACAAGTTAATTTTGTTAAATTTAGTTACACAACAACAGTAACATCGAAGTCTTATTCCCAAAAGAGTTTGGGGTCACTTAACATAAATTTAGTTACACCAATAATCACTTTTTAAAGTATAGCTAGAGCCTAGAACTGATGAATTTCAGTAGTTGAATCTTGTTAATATATAAAAGTTGCACATTGAGTATTTTATGTTACAGAGGTATTATGTGATTAGCTTTATATCCCAACTCTGTTCTCATTGGTTCTTCTAAAATATGAAGTTCTTTAGCTCGCATTTGGGGGGAGCTATAGCCATTTATTTATGTACTCATACTTTATTTATTTAGGTATGCCACAGAGCACAGGTGTGGTGTGGTGGTAAAGGGTCCAAAGTTAAGTGGAAATATATCAGGAACTGACCCATTGAAGGATAACCGCCTTCTTTTACAAGTGGAGGCTCTTGATGATACAGAAGAGGCAAATCACACAGCCATAGTTGTTAATGAACTTTCTAAAGAGATGTCGCGCATTCTTGTTTCCCACCCACTGAATGCAAAACGTTCTGCCGAAGGAAAGAACATTGCCAATGTTGTCCTCTTGAGAGGTTGTGGCATTCGAATTGAGGTCTCTCTCTTTCTCTCTCGCTCTCTCTTTATATCTCCCCTCTCTTGTTCTCGTTTTTTTATGCAAAAATCTGTATTAAAGCCTATCCTCGCACTCCATCAGGGTCTATTTGGAATTTGGAAAATACTATGAAAAGGAAATTGGAACGAAAGGAAATGTGGTGGAAATAAAAGATGTATTATTTATGTTGGATACACATTTTTTTTTAGATATTCGGTGATACTCATTTTTATTTTATAATGTACTATATTGTATGAAGATTAAGAAGCCCACAGAGAAAAGTTATCACATTTCATTTTTCTTTGCATTCTTCGAGTATAATCAAACATAAAAGAACCGTTTTTCTTAGTGTTTATTCTTTCTCTAGCATTTTCCATGATCCAAACATACTCTTAGGGTCTGTGTGGAACTCGAAAAATACTAGGTAAAGAAACAAAGGTGGAAAACAGAGAGAAAAGTAGGAGGGAAATAAACCACATAATCTAGATAGGATCAAACTCAAAAAAAGTATGGTTAATTGTAAAAAGTTATCCAACATTCAACTCGTTAACTGAACATCTTGAAAACTATATACTTAAAGAAATTTTACATAAATACACTATCTTCTAAATTTTCAACTAAACATCTTCCGACCTCTAGTATAGGTCTATGCAGCTGCCACCAAGTTATATATGTATTTGTCCAAACTCATTTAACTTTATTTCTCTAGATGTGTGGAATTTTAAAAGTTTTAGTTTTATTTCATTTTTCTTTGATTTTTCGAAACTAATGTCAATATTAAAATGGGCCTATGGGAGAACTATAGAGAGAAGATCTAGAAGGACAAGAATGTTTACAAAAATAAAAATTCTTTGAACTTGAAAATTCAATTTGAGATATTTGTTCAAAATCATTCTTTGAAGCTCTGTTGCATATAGGCATATAGCTAACAAATCTAAATATGATTTAATCAAATGTGATTTTCCTCTATATTTTCCTTTGTAAATAGAAATATAAACTTTTTTCATAACTAATTTATATTATTCCCATCCATTTTCCTTGTCCCTAACATATCATTTAGATTGACATGAAACTATGCAGAAAAGATTAGATTTTATTCAGATTGTGAGTTCATACTTTTCTCAAATTGTCTGTGTTTTTTATTCTGTTTAGGTCCCTCCGTTTGAGGAGATACATGGGCTTCGCCCATGCATGGTAGCTCCTACCAAGATCATAGCTGGGTTGGGTCTATCTCTTGGGATTGATATTCTAGAAGCTCCTGGAGCAACGGGAGACTACCGGACAATATTAACATCCAAAGCAATTGCCATAGCAAATGCCCTTTCTGCTCCTCTGCAGCCTTGCCCAAATATTTTCGTTCCTGGTGAAGATGAGCATAAGCCTGGTGGATCTGATGGTTATGACTTTGGATTCCTTCACATTAAGGTGATATGATAGATTGATAGGTCACTATGTTTGTTTCTGAGATTTTTGAATAGTAGCTGAAAGCCTGAAACTAGTTTTGTAGAAGTTTCTTTTAGCAAAAGAGGAAGGGATTTTTTGATTGGAGGGTTTTGGAGGGAAGGAGGCTGATAGAGAGACCTGGACTTGTGGGCTCAATATTTTAATAAGATGTAATAGTGGGCTGGGCTAAGTAATTAGATAGATTGAGGGAAGCCTCATTGGAAAAGAATAAATAGAAGGAATAGAAGAGGGGGAGGGGAGGCAGAACTTTGGATCTGGACTAGGACTTGGGAGTGTTGAGATTACTCGAAGTGTCTCTGTCTGTATATCTTTCCTTTACGTCGTCTTCTTTCTCTAATATACACGCCAGTTTTACTGTTTGGTTGAGGGTTCTAAGTTTCTAACATTGGTATCAGAGGCTTAGAGCAATCGCTCCTGGACTTAGAATCGATCATCACAGAGCAATTGCAGATGGAGAATAGCACTGGAAATGTAACGAGGATGGAAACGATGCTGGACGAGATGATAAATCATCTGCGTAAACAGCGTCGCCGGAGAACTAGAGGCCAAGCGAGGAGCCCTCCTAGGTGCCGTCGGCCAACTGAAAATAAGGTTTATTCGTCCGCCCCTCCTCCTAGTTCGCAATCGCAAACAGCTTCGCCTAGTTCGAGGTATCGTCGCGGGCACAGGTCTCTTCTCAATCGCGAGAACTTCTGTCCAGTTGTCTGGCTTCTTCGAGAACTTCATCTCACTGCTCGCAAACGCGAACTTCGTCTCACAGTTCTCAGTCGTGAACACGAACAGTAGCTTCCGTGTCGTCTCAGTTGCGTACAGATTCTCATAGGTTGCAGAGTTCGAGGCTAACAAATCATTCCAGTTTGCAGGGGTTTCTGCTAGCAACTTCTCCTAATTCGTCAGATTTGCGGCAATATGAAGTCTCCAGTTCGCAGTCGCGAATGGCTGTTCCCCGTTCGCCATCGCAAACTGTTTCTCTTTGTTCGCAGCTTTCATCTCAAGTTTCCGAGTATCACACTGCTCAAGTTTCCTTGCCAGGGACTGCATCGCTGAAAATGAACTCTGAGTTGAAACCGGCTGAACCATATATCAAGGAGCCAGACCCAGATGATGATATGACTCAAACTACAGGATATTGGCCAAATCATCATGAAGGTTTGAACCCTCCTGAGATGGATGAAAATGGAATTCGTGTGGGTAAAGTGAAGGATCAACTGTCAAGGCAACTGGAGGAGCAGGCAAAAGTCACATATGAAACAGAGAGGAGGATTCAAGCACTGGCGTGGAAATCAAATATCACTGTGATGAATGTTGGGCCTGATGTTTTTGTATCTCCTATTGGGCCCAATTCCATAATGGATCAGTCACAACCTTTTCTAGTCGGTACAGGAATTGGTGCATTCTCACCTGAAATTGTGTTGTTGAAACTGAGGCAAGCTGTTTCTGGAGCTCCTAGTGGTGAAGGTTCCAATCCACGAGGCACTGAAGGTACTAGAAAATCTACCATGAGGCGGATGGAGGTTCGGGAACATCCTATTAGGACTAAGGTTGCTGCAGCGTATGCTTATCGTGAACGCCCAGATTTTGATGCACCTCGAGATTGTATGGAATTCTTCAACTTGGTTTTGAGTAAAGTTCATCCGGTCATCTCTGATACTGGTATGCATTTTAATGCCTCACCAGGATCTGATCAAAAACCTTTCGACAAGGTTGAGATGGGGCAACAGCCAAACACCAAGGTTTCTGGAATGCAAAGTATGAGGCTGTGTGGAGGTAATGTCAATCATAGCTCAACGGGGGATGTGGCAAAAGGAGTTGAAGTTTTCTTTAGCTCAGTGTTCCTTGATGAGCAGATTCAGGTTGAGGAGAATGCTGGTGTTCATGGCATGAACACAAATTCTGCTATGGGTGAGAATGGATTTACTCAAAACATTGCTTCTCAAGAGACTAAAGCAACTATACCAATCAGAAAGCTTCTGTCGGTTGAGCGTAGCCTTCCAATGGATGGGGTGAAAAAAGCAGGAGCTATTCCATATTTTGTATATCTCCTTGAAAGGAGTGACTTATCCCAATGGCAATCTGAAGTTGCTCGGGCACTGATAAATATTACATCTGGGACAACCGGATATACAAGAATTGTCATGGAACAGGGGTCTGTCCCTAATTTTATACAGCTACTTCACCCAACGATGATGTTCGTGAGCAGGGTGTCTGGGCTTTGGGCAATATTGCTGGTGATGCTCCAACCTGTAGATATCTTGTTCTTGGTCAAATTGAAGCCGCTGGGGAGATACTTTATCACACAGTATACAATGGCAGAGACGGAATTACTGACCACAACAAGGATATAATAGTAGAAACTCCTGCCTGGGATTCATCACTTTATACCAGACCTGATAAGCCTAAACATGATGTCTGGAAGCACTCAAATTATTCATTGATGCAGGAGCCGGGCCTGCGGGAAGACTCACTTACAGAGGTGAATTGGTAGACTTGACCAGACAGTCATCATCCAAGCTTGCAAATCAGATTTACATTGATGCAATAACTGCTTTCAGAGAGAAGGAAAATATGGAGTTCAAGATTGAGGATGCGCTAATGTAAGAAGGAAATACTCCAATACTTACTCTCATTGATTGTCTGTTAATAGTGCTTCACTTACATGAGCGTCAATATACACAAACTGCTGCAATTGCTAGAGACACTCATCCTTGTCCGCAGGATTCTGACAGAATGAAGCTCGTTGCTGATAGACTTAGAGGCACATCTCTACTGGTGACAAGATGTACATTGGAGAGGCTAATGGAAGTATACAGAAATTATGGTTTGAGTTTTTCCAATGGCTTTCATAAAAGTTTTGAGTATGGTTGGATCCCTGGGAAGTTTTTGAGGTGTTATTATAACAGGGATTTCAGATCAGATGCTTTTGAACTTGTTCAAAGTCTTGACCAAAGTGGGGTCAATTCTCTTGAAAAGATGTCAGAACAGAAGCGAAGGATACACCAGGAGATGCATATGCTGGGAGATTCAAACTTTTGCAACATCAGGGAGCATTCTGCCACCAGGGCTTTGCTTCTGCTCCTTGCAGTGAAGAACATGAAGATTGTAGAAGGATGAGCTAAGGGTCCAAAAATCTGGGAGGTATTGGGAAGGAAGAGGCGCAAGGATGAAGATGAAGCGGAAGGACCCAGCTGTTTCATATCACCCCCTTGGCATGAGAATGAAGCTGGATGACATGGCTGATTTACCCCCCACCCCCCCACCTTGAGGACAAGGTGGTTGTCAAAGGGGGGAGTGATGATAGAGACCTGGACTTAAGGGCTCAATATTTTAATAAAATGTAATAGTGGGCTGGGCTAAGTAATTAGATAGATTGAGGGAAGCCTCATTGGAAAAAAAAATAGAAGGAATAGAAGAGGGGGAGGGGAGGCAGAATTTCGGATCTGGACTGGGACTTGGGAGTGTTGAGACTACTCGAAGTGTCTCTGTCTGTATTTCTTTCCTTTACGTCATCTCCTTTCTCTAATAAACACGCCAGTTTTACCATTTGGTTGAGGGTTCTAACAGAGGCACATAAGTGATATATATATATATATATAGAGTCCTGATCCTGTCCAGACGTCCGGACAGGAACCGCCGTCCGGCCGGCGGCGTTTGGCCGCCTTCCCGGTGGAATTTTTTGATGAAATTTTTATGGCATGTTCTCCATCAAGTCTAGTTTATCCACAAAAAAATTCAGTCAAAAACTCAATCGGGAAGGTCGTCAAATGATTTTTGCAAGTTAACTGGTCCGGAAAATACATATTCCGGACCAGTTAACTTGCAAAAATCATTTGATGACCTTCCCGATTGAGTTTTTGGCTGAATTTTTTTGTGGATAAACTAGACTTGATGGAGAACATGCCATAAAAATTTCATCAAAAAATTCCACCGGGAAGGCGGCCAAACGCCGCCGGCCGGACGGCGGTTCCTGTCCGGACGTCCGGACAGGATCATTTGTGTATATATATATATATATATATATATATATATATATATAGTAATCTTCCGGTCAGGTATACCTGACCGGAGCCGCCGTCCGGCCTCCTCCTTTTGGGGGCCTTCCCGGTGGTATTTTTTGCTCAAATTTTTTGTGTATGTTCCTCATCAAGTCTAGTTCATCCATACCAAATTCCAGCAAAAAATTCAATCGGGAAGGTCGTCAAATGATTTTTGCAAGTTAACTGGTCCGGAAAATACATATTCCGGACCAGTTAACTTGGAAAAATCATTTGACGACCTTCCCGATTGAATTTTTTGCTGAAATTTGGTATGGATGAACTAGACTTGATGAGGAACATACACAAAAAATTTGAGCAAAAAATACCACCGGGAAGGCCCCCAAAAGGAGGAGGCCGGACGGCGGTTCCTGTCAGGTATACCTGACAGGAACATTTGTGTATATATATATATATATTAAGATATTTCCACATTTTGATAATTCGAAGTACTTTGTCTGAGTAAAAATATATAGAAAAGCATGCTATAACTAATCATATACGAGCAGTGTGTAGTTATTAATAGTCTAAAACTAACAAATAGAGATAAATTAGTACAATAAAAATTAATCTTTTCCTTTTCTTTCCTCTAGGATCACCAAATAAATCATAAATGTCTGTTCAGAAAGCAGGGGATGTTAGGGAAAGAAAACAGGCAAGACATTTGAATGGAAAAAATTACTGGAGGAAAATGAAAAATGCAATTGCTTCCAATTTATAGGCATTTTAATTATTTGTTTGTACTTAATATTACTCAAATATATTGATAATGTAAAGATTGAGAAATCTAATTGATGTACAATTTTAAATAGTTTTATTTGAATTTAATATTTCTTTTTACTTTTAAAGGTACAAACCAAGCATGAAACCCCACTTTCCTTGGGCTATGTTTGGAATTGGGGAAATAGAAAATTGTATCAAGATTTTTTTTATTATGTTTGGTTTTACCTTGGAAAATAATCAAATACGAAGGAAGGTCAAATTTGGTTAAGACTTTACATAAATTTGGATTTCGTAGTCTTTGTATAATCGAAATACAGACTATTTGAACAAAATGAGTATGAACTATAGATATGATACATTGATGGTATATTGAGTTAAAAGTAATATTTTTATTTCCCTCAATGTGTTTTCGTTCTTTTCAAATTCCATCTCTATATTCCTTCATATATTTTTCCCTAACATTTTCCATAAAAGGTCAGCCCGGTTCACAAAAGCATCTCCACAAGGCGAGGGTCGGGTACCACCATAAGAAGCAAGTCTTCACCTGTCAAATTTTGACAAGAGGCCGCTCCCAAGACTTGAACCTGTGACCTCTTGGCCATACAGCAACACCTTAACCGATGTGCCAAAGCTCCCCCTTTTTCCCTAGCATTTTCCATGTTCCAAAAAAATCATAGCCCTCCTCCCTACCAATTTCCAAATTCCAAATGTATCCGTATTTTTTTTTACTGCCTTGATCTCTCAATAATAGACTCGAAAGTAATTATTTCATTTTCTGGCTTCCAGGCAATAGACGATGCTGGCCATGATAAAGCCAGTGTATTCAAAGTAAAAGGACTTGAAGCGGTGGACCGTGCTCTGGGACAGCTGGCAAAACTTCTATGGTCAGCACAATCATCCGGGAAATTCGAGTTCTTCATTTGTGTCACTGGGGACCACTCAACACCCGTCGAATATGGGGACCACAGCTTTGAACCTGTCCCATTCTCATTATGTAGTCTGAAGGACTTTGTGGGTGCTGTTGGGGGAGATGCAGTCCTGTCAGAAACCTCACTGGATCCATTTCCCCTTCCAATGAACAATGACAGTAAAGACATTTTGACTGCTGATTTGGGAGCAGAAAGGAGAAAGAAGGGCAAGGGTTTTAGCGGGGACTCGGTAGCAGAGTTCAATGAAATAGCAGCAGCAAGAGGTTGCCTTGGACGGTTCTCTGGGAGTGAGATGATGGGAGTTATAAACACATATCTTAAGCTAAAAGCATAATTTCAAGATTGCATGGAACTATGGAGTTGTGGTTTAACCAGTAACAAGGCAACTTTCGAACATTTTATGGAAGAATATAAAGTATGAGCAAGGAGTACACAGGGGCTGATACCGGATTGTACATGATGTGCCCATTTCTGAAAGGTGTTCAAATTATTGTTTGTAGAAATAAGTAGTAGTTATAAAAACACAATATTTTCCTGTTAAAAAATGCTGGTTAATTGATCACTTTTATTGCGAGAGGGTGTGAGGTGATTCTACAAGTTGGTGATGATATAGATAGTTGCAAGTGTAACTTATTTGACAATGTTTTGTATTTTCTCTTATGATTTTCATATTTTGGGTTGTATAAGTTTAAATAAATAGTAAACAGTGGTTATATGCTTATATGTGTTGCAGAAGTGATCAAGTGAACCCAATGAGACTTAAAATAAAACTACGTGATGGGGAGAGTGAGTTGGGGTTTAAATAATGTGTACTGTCTGTATTGTAAGGCTAAGTAGAAATAAAAGGAGAGATTAATAGTCATAAATTAGTATTATCTATTTAAATTTTGTTTGATCTGCGACTAGAACTAACCAGTCTAGTTGATCGATGTCATTCTTATAATAATTAAGTCAATACTTTTCTTTATTCCCTAAAATTGCTCATAGTTCATTTCTATCTACTTATTTTTATTTTAGTGTTTTATAAATAGCGGTGTTTTCCATTAAAAATGTCCATTTACATTGTTGGCTGCTAGTATATAATTATCAGTTTGTTATGATACACTTGGATGTTTCATACAGTAATAATTCAATTAGAGTGTGAAAAAAATATCATCTATTTCATGCACTTATAATTGTATTATTCTTAATCCTCGCATGTTCGGATGCTCCGTTTTAATTAGGATATCGCTTTTAAACACACATTTGGTTTCAAATTAATTGTCTCATTATATTTGTAAGAATTCGATTATTCACTTCACAGTATAAGTTTCAAATTTATTATACTATTAAAAAAACTAAACAACAAATCTCAAATAAGGCCGTAGTATAAAAACAATTATATCTAAATATATTTTTTTAATTTGTTAATTGTCCATTATGTTTATCTGAGCAAACTCATCATATATAATATACATGAAACATTCCAAAGCAACACCAATTTAAGAATGAATGAAGTATGATTTTCCTTGATAATTTCCATTTGAAACAAAATATATTTTGTTGATAGGAAATCACTATATGAACCCAACATTAGGGCATCCTTTAGGGATTCCATCCATTAGTTGATGTCAAGTTTCACTTTTAGAACATGAACTTGATGTTTGTCATGCATTGTGGCGTTATGTTGAACCTTGAACTAAAAATATGACACATTTATATCCAGAAGCAAGACGGTTAAGAATAAAAAGTCTTGTGATGAGAAACGCAGCCCAATTTTAATTTTGGACATAACACTAAATTATAAGTTTACTCATTAAGAGCATCTCCAATGCTACAATGTGCACGGTGTACATGTGGCATGAGAGAGATAAACACAAAAAATTGAATTTATGACATTTCTCTCTAATTCTTTCCGCGGTTTTATATGTTTTTGGTAAGTTTTCCTCTGCAATGTCAAGCACAATGTCTACATCTAGACATTGTACTTGACATTGTGAAGAAAAACTTACCAAAATGAAAAAAGATCTTTCAAATAAGGAGAGCGATATTTTAATTATTATTTTTTAATTGGCTATCTCTCATGCCAGGTATGCACCATTCACGTTTTAGCATTGAAGATGCTCTAATGATGTGATAAGGTAAGACTTACTATATGCTAAGAACATGCAATTATAGTATTATTGTTAGTGCTCTAAAACCAAAAAGGTCTATAAAAAGAAAAAATATACGGAGTATATATTTAAAAATGATGGAGACTTATAAAGGATTGAGAGCGTCTCTCACTAGAATTAACGTCTCACTAGGATTGACATGAAAGCCGATTATAGTTACAAACTCTCTCAACCCTCTCTATTTGTGAAAATAAAAGCTTAGTTAGTATTTTTTTTGTAAAAACTTTTTGAATGGAAACTCGTCTCTATTCATATAATAAGTTTTAAGATCATTGCATCAATCAAAGGAAAATCAAATCTGACACCAACTAATCTCCAACAGCTACGAGTAGCCTACGACTATAAACCCTATGATCAGACTTAGACGGTCACTCCTGAAAGAGAAACACGAATCGCTAACCACGAAGCGGGCTTGACACAGCTATCCCTGATCTCATAGATCCAAACACTCCCAATGACATAAAAAAAGCTAAATCTCCAAACAAACTGACAAACCTAACAACATAGACGTTAACAAGAATCTAAATGACAAAATAATACTCCCTCCGTCCCAAGTTGAATTGCAAACTTTGACCGGCACATGGATTAAGGAATGACAATAAATGATGCTTGTTTTTTACACTTTTGTCCTTCATCCTAAAAGTAGATGCCTTCATGTTGATGGGAAAAAGTAAAAGTAAGGGTAAATTTGTCACTTTACTCTTATTTACATACCTAGAGTAGAAAGTGGAAAATCATTTTGGGACAACCACAATAGGAAATTTTGCAAAACAAATTGGGACGGAGGGAGTAATAACTAATAGGATAAGGAGGAGGCTGCACCATTGGTACCTCGTACAACCCATGGCGGTGGTTCAGGAGGAGGCCATACCATGGGTACCATCTGATTGATCCTCCATTGTCGATCAAAATCTGGCCAACTCGAAACCCGTGCAACTCTCCTCGTCCTGCACTCGTAGCAAAATCACCGCTAGCGGTCATCTTCTTCGCTGTCAAGCCCTGTGATGCATTCATCTTTCCTTGCTACCCTGCCTAGCTGGTAGATGCTTTGCGGCGCCCCAAACAAAACCCTCGTGACCGCAACCCTCATGACCGAAGGAGAGATAACCTGCAACCCTCGCGTCGCAAACCCTCGTGGTCGCAACCCTCGTGGGAAGCGATAACCTGCAAAAGAAGAGAAAGAGCAACACAAGCAGCAACCTTTGTGGCCGAAGGAAATGAATTGCCGCACCAACCTACGCCGTAGCTAGGCGGCGGAAGTAGCAAACCCTAGAGAGAGGGAGACTACCACTTTTTTTATTTCCCGACCCAGACACTAGCTAGTATTAGATTTTTTTGAAAAAACTTTAAAAATGGAAAATGCGATTTATTTTGATTTTTATAGTTTGGTTAGTCTTTAAACTTAGAGAAAATGTTCAAATAAGGCCTTCTACTATTATAAAATCGTCACATAAGGTCATGTACTCAACAAAGTGTCATATAAATACGTCTACTTGTAAAAAGCAATCAAATGAGTCATAATGGCCTATTTACAACCTCCTAATCACGGTTTTAGCGTGCTTCTAACCATCTTTTTAGAATAGATTATACAACATACGTCGAATATTTAACTAAGATTGGTTGAAATACAAGTAAAAAAATTCACACGTAAGCCAAAGTCGGGATTAAGATGTTGTCAACGGGTCATTAGGACTCTCATCCAATTGTTCTTTATATTAGATGTATTTATATGAAACTTTATTGAGTACATGATCTTATGTGATGATTTCGGATGTTTTCTTCTGGACTGTTTTCAGTCCCAGACCAGACCAGACCAGACTTAAACAGACCAGACCAGACCAGACCAGACTTAAACAGACCAGACCAGACCAGACCAGACTTAAACAGACCAGACCAGACCAGACTTCCGTAGTTATAAAATACACTGGGACCAGACGTTTACCAGACCAGACCAGACCAGTTCAGACCAGACCAGACCAGACCAGACTTAAACAGACCAGACCAGACCAGACTTAAACAGACCAGACCAGCAAATTTCAGTCCAAAAGAAAACATCCTTCATTAGTAAAAGACTACCATTTCCTCTTAAACTTAATTGTTACGCAATACATTTCTCCAACTTCGGCTTCCCTGATTCCAGGCCAAGACTTCTGATTGGGCTTGAATGGTCTTTTGGACCGGTTGGGCTCATTCTAATTTTAACAATAGCATATATGCTAAAGTTTTAAAATTAGTTACAAACTTTTTTATCAAATTAAAATTTGCTACTCTTATCTCGGCTTAGGTCCCCATTCAAAAATGACACGATTTCTACACACTCATTAAATAAGGTAATTAAATATATTTCAACAAGTATTTTGGGTGGTATTAATTGTAATGTTATGAATGTATTATTTTTAATATTTGATTATTGAGTTATTCTTTTTGAAAGAATTTGATAATTGAGTTATTGTTTAAGAATCCTAATTATTTTCTTAGAATATAAATTAGAACCTCTAAATAAGGTGTCAAAAGATAGAAGTGAAAACTTTTAACCATAGTACTTACAAATTACAATGGTTGATATACTAACTTTCTTAAAAGTAGAAGTGAAATTAGAATCTCATTTTCAAAAGCCGGTCTCCACGAGCTTATAAAAAAATGTTTCTATGAGCAATTTGGAATACTTAGAAGCACTTCTACATTTCCACTCAAATAGTTCAATATCTATTTGTGTACTGTAAAAGAGCGGAAACGGTTTTAAAAGGCAAATTCAAACAGCCGTATTTATATTATTCATACAATATGGATCTTTGACCATAGACTTAGTACAACTATACTCATAAGATCTATAACGAATTGTATTCAAATCATATAAATTAATCATGAGCATATTTATGGAGTTAATATATATATATATATATATATATATATATATATATATATATATTTTTGGAAATATTCTTCAAAACTTATGTTAATGTCAATATCCTTGATTGAGATGTGACTCGAACCCGCGACATCCTCTTTGGGAGATGAAGAGTGATATCATCAGAGCACATGGTACTTGACTTATGGAGTTAATATATGATACATATATCATAAATATAATTAATAACTTTAAGGGTAAATAATTTGTCAAAGTTCACAAGTTTTAGTTTTACTTCAAAATTAAAACTTAAGGGCTTAAGGCCGTTTAGTATCACTATCATTTATCAGTTTTATGCTTTGTAATTTGAAAGTGTACTTCTTCCATTCCATTGGATTTTGATAACATTTTTAAATTTTCTATTAAAAACTTTGTCACTTGTGAATTAAAAAAAATAATTTATGATTCTTGTTGAAGTATTTGTCCCACACCGGAAATCTATAAAATAATAAAACACTATATAAGACTTTGGGCTACTCCTCCTATCAGGTTGACCTTTTACGATGGAAACCCGGGTCTTAACAATTCTACTTATTCCGATCTTATTTGCCCAACTTCCTGACATTCTAATAAACTTGTTATTTTTAACAACTGACATTCACACAACGTAACGTAATAAAAAAACACAAATAAACGGATTAAACGATGTCGCAAGAGCTTAAAATATGAACTTGTTTGGAATATAATTTTTCTAATTAAAGGGAAATAAATGGTAAGCTTATGAATGAATTGATGA